ATGAGGAAGAGACATTGATTGTACGAATTGGCTGTCATATAGCTATGGAGGCTGCGAAGTCCCATCGTTTGCCATCTGTAAGCTGGACAGTCAGAAAAATCCAGTGGCGTGATTTAGTCCAAGTCCAAAGACTTGAGAACTGGGGTGAGAGGGCACGGTATAAATCTCCGTCTGAGTCCAAAACTCTGAGAATGAGGAGCACTCATGGCCAAACACAGGAGAAGATAGGTGTCTCAGCTTAATCAGAGAGTGAATGTGCCTCTCTTTTGCCGCTTTACTCTATTTAGTCACGGAACAGACTGATTTATGTCCACCTGCATTGAGACATAGATCCATTGAGAGGGATCTTCTTAACTCAATCTAGTGATTCAGATGCTAATCTCTCCTAGAAAACCTTCATAGACACACCCAAAAGAACATTTTACCAGTAATCTGAGTATCCCTTAACCCAATCAACTTGATATACAAAATGAAACATTATTTATATTTAGAAGAGGTGGGAATCAGAAAAAGTCTTGAAAAATAAATGGCTGAAAATTTCCAAAAAAACACCTATAATTCCGAAGACCAAAGAAGCTCAACAGGAACCAAGTAACAAGAACACACACACACACACACACACACACACACACACGATGATTATCATAATCTATATACAGGTAAAATGAAAACATTTTATAAAATGTTTAGTTTCTTGAGTAATCAACCGTAATCAAAAGAATAAACATGATTTATGGAGTTTATGACATATAAAAGTAAGATTTATAACAACGATAGCAAAGGATGGTGGGAAGTAAGCATACTGCTACAAGGTTAATACATCACGCATGAAATGGTAGTGTGTTAATTGAGATGCATATCACAGTCCTTAAAGCAGATGTTTCTATAATAAATGTAGTCATGTCTAATAAACAAATAGTGGCAAAAACAAAATGCTAAAACATCAATTAATCTAAATAAAAACAGGAAAAAGAGGAAAAAGGAAAGAATAGATGAGCCACAAACTTAGAAAATAATCTATACTTATTTTATGGCTCATCTGTTCTTTCCTTTTTTCCCCCTTATTTTAAGCTTTTATAACCAAATAATCAGAAGAAAACCAATTCAACAAAAAGGGAAAAAGATTTGAACAAGTGCTTCACAAAAAGGATATGTGGGTGGCCAATGTTCATATGAAATGATGCACAACATTTTGAGTCTTCAACTTAAAACCAAAATGAAAAACCACTAAACACTTTACAAAATGACTGAAATGCAAAAGCATGACAATGCAAAGTGCTGGTGAGAATGTGGAGGAATTAGAATGCTCATGCATTGAAAACGGAATGCAAATTGTACATCCTCAGAATAAAAATGCAGCAAATAAAGTTAAGCATACTTTTACCATATGACCCACCCCTATATGTCCATCATATTCATATTAACTCCAACCTTTAAAAAAAGTCAGAAACAGGTAAATGGATAAATAAATTATTTAATCCATTCAATGGGATGCTTCTCAACCATAATAAGGAAGGGAATACTGACACACACCAAAATAAGAATAAATCATAGAAGTACTCTGCATTATATCATTGTTATGTACATTTAGAAACGACCGAAGTAATCTATTGTGGTACAAATCATATCAGTGGCTACTTGGGGACTGGTTTAGGGTAAGGATTTACTTCTAAGATGTATCAGAGAAAGTTTGGGATTATGGAAAATTTTGATATCTTCATTGTGGTGGTGGTGACAGTTTTACAGTTATATATTTGTCTATGTTCAGAAAAATCTGATCTTAAAGTGCATTTTATTTTATATAAACCATATTCCAATAAAGTTTATTTTCAAATTTCTGGTATTTTCCTAAATGAATAAGCCATACATATGCATTTATAGACATATATATGGTGTATAATGTGTCTATATAATATGTGTTATATATGTATATATTATATATATATGTGTTCATATTTAATATTTATTCTTTTGTTAATGCTCCTCTGGAAGGTCTTCCTAAAATGTTTATTTAAAATAGGTGGCTTATGCCTGTAACTGCAGCTACTCAGGAGTCAGAGGCAGGAGGATCTCCAGAGACTAAAAGTTAGATGTTGTGGTGAGTTGCGATTGCATCAGAGCACTCAGCCTGGGCAACAGAGAGAGATACCTGTTTCAAAATAAATACATAAGCAACAAATAAAATAGCTATAATTATTGAAAATTGGCTCCACATGTTTATAAAATTCTATATCCTAAAAATACAATAAAACACTCATTTTCCCCTATCTGAGCTTTTATATATTATCAGTCATTTTAATTTTTAACCAGTCAGTAGAAAAAAATTTGTACTGTGATTCAATATCAGTATATTTTATTACTAGATAGAGTAAAAACCTTTGCATATAATTGTTGGCTATTCGCATCTTTTCCTTTTGTAAATTGTATGTATTATAGAGTTTTTTTTAACTTTTATGTTATGCTCGGGGGTACAAATGCAGGTTTGTTACATAGGTAAATTTGTGTCACGGGGGTTTGTAGAACAGATTATTTTATCACCCAGGTATTAAGCCTAGTACCCATGACTTATTTTTCCTGGTCCTCTTTCTTCTCCCACCTTCCACCCTCCAAAAGGTCCCAGTGTGTGTTGTTCCCCTTTTAAAAATAGCTGATACATAATAATTAACTTTTTACAATCCAGGATTTTCTTTTAGTCTTGTGTAACTGACTTTTGCAATAGAGGAAAGAGTTAGTATTTTTATAAAATAAAGTCAATTAACAACTTACAGTAATTGGATTTTACATTTTCAGTAGGCAGGTCACTCCTAGAATTTTAGCAATGTTAATATTTATTTTCTTATATTTAGGTATTTTTTACCCCTGAAAATCATGGTTGTTACTGGAAGAAAAAAATATTTTTTCACACACACACGAACATATACATAAACACACACACACACGTATACACACTTTCTCAAAATGCCGGACAGTTCTTACATTATTTACCAAACTGTCCATCTTTTTTTCCCCTGGAATTTCTATATTAATTAATTTAATTTTCTGTCCTATGATAGTGACATAGTTTTAAATATCTCGTTTCATTTCACTGTTTCAGCTTTTAATTCATTCCTAATATGCATATAGTAAAGGGCACTAATCTTACATATACAACTTAATGGATTTTTTTATATATGTATACACCCATATAACCATTAATTAGATCAAAATACAAAACATTTCCTCCACCCAGAAGATTCCGCTGAGCTCCTTTCTTATCCAATACCCTCCTGCCCAGAGGTACCGCTAGTCTCACTTTTATTACTGATTAGTTTGTTCTTTTTTTGAACTTCCCGTAACTCTAAATAAATAACAACATAAGGTGTGTATATTTAGTACCAATATGCATGTTGTATCATTTTTGATATATAATGTTTTATTGATTTTAAATCTGGTGTTCCAAACTGCCACAATGAATGCATTGATACCCATTTGCACAATAAGTTAATAATTATGAAATACTATACAAAGTATAGTGGCCTCCATCAGTCTTGATACGAGAGCACTAACTTGTATCAAGAATTGTGTACAGGAATAAACACAAATTTTCAATCCTGCACAATTTCACCAACAATCTTTCAGTTTTACCTTTCTAAAAGTTGATTTAATTTAGCATGACTGCAATAGAAATTAAAATGTTTAACATTTAAGTTTGCTAGTCCATTAAATGGGATAATTTATGCAAATAATGAGCAGAGGCCCAAGCTATATCTTAGTTAAAATGGAATCACTTCCCTCTTATTTTCTTTTTTTACCAGAGGAATGATCACCAACTTCTCTGTCCAGTCACTGATGGGGCAGGTTGGGTTGGAACTGCTATTGGATTGACTTTCTCACTCCAGGAAGGAAGGAATGGACAGTAATACAGTGTTTTTACTTCGGTTTGCTTTCAGAAAGCCTGCACTTGGGGGCCGAGGAGATACTTCGCTCGACTCATATTGGTCACAAAGTGTGATCCCTACGTTGATCATTGGTAGTTCTGCTACATGTAAGAGTAGCAAATGAATGAATACTATTATTTGTTTATATTTTATTCTCATTGCTTTATCATAATTAATGACTCGTAATTCATTAATAATATTTAATAAGTGGATGGAATAAACATGATAAATTATCACAGGGAGCTTCACAGAAATAGGTCAACTCTCATAATTAAGGGTATCACCAGAATGCATTTGGGCCAGAAATGTGGTTTTCAAGATGTTATTCTATCCAAGTCACCACTTTAAAAAATAGTAACAGGAATTCTGCTAGAAGATGATCAGAGTTAGAAGAACTCAAAAGAGTCATTTAGACCTATAAATGAGGTAATCTTTGCTGTGGAAACACAGGATTATCAGGCATACCAATCAGCTTCATATAGAGGATTCTCATCTACAAGAGTGAGTGAAAAGAGGTCAGAGTACCCAATGCAGGGCTGGAGTTATATCAGTACAGAAGCTCGTGTTTAAATGTAGACTATTAGGAGAGAGAAAATTGCAATAGAAAATAGCTTGGTGGGTAATAGTGCTACTGGTTTTGCCAATTACCTAGGTCAAACATTGAATTTTTCTAAAATGAAACTTGCATTAGATCAATATAGAGGACAGTATTCTTGAAACTGCACTTGAAAATACTTTTATACAAACATTGTTGGAAAAACATCAGTCATGCCTTGCCTGTTTTGTCACGTCACTAACTAAAATAGCCACAGGTAGCAATTTCACTCTCTCTGTTTCTCCCTTTTTCTCTCTCTCTTTCACACACACACACACACACACAGATACACAAATGATAAAGAGAAATGAATAAATGTGATAAGCAATACATATTGTGAAAGTGATCATATTTATTAAAATGCAAATTTATAAGTTTTCCTGCATGGAAATTGTTAATATTATAATAGATATAAACAAACACATAAAAGTAACAACATATCAGAGGATTTTCCTACTAACCGGTGGGAAATTTCACCAATTCAATGCAAATATGACCTCTGGTAATCAATAATTAGATTTAGTTAAAATTGGACAGACAATAATTAATCCATAAACAACCCTGTTGATGCAATTAGCGCATCACAAGAAAATGACTCAAAGTGACTGGCAATTGGAATTTCTTTGTAGGAGCCAGTAGGAACCTTCCATAGGAGCTTGGAAAGTTGCAGGCATAACCAGAGTCACCATATTCAGAGCCATAGCTGCAGCCATAGTCCAGGCTACCATAATAGTTGTGGTAGTAGCACATGGTGTCAGAAGTTGGAAGTTCAATTGAGCAAACAGTAGTTTCTGAAATTTGACTCCCCTGATTTGCACAAATTAGTTTATCCAACCTGAGTTATATGTGAAGCAAACCACAATCTACATTAGACTCATTCTCACAACTAATTTGCATTAAGATTAAAAAAGATCTCAAGAATCTCTTAGCCATATGTCCAAGAAAATATTAATATTGCTATGTGTCAGGATGCTAACAAGTAAAATCATGAGCCTTAAGGAGATATTCTCTTAATTTTGTGGCTTTTGCTTACTGAAAATCCCAACTTAAACTTGATGATTAGCTTCCGCGTGATCACATAAAGCTTGTATTTCCTGCCTCTTGAAACATTTCTTTTTTCTTTTCCAATATCCTCCTCTACCTCCATAAATGCAGTCTTCAAACCACAGAGTGGCCAGGCCCAAGCCTCCATAGCCACAGCCACAGAAGGAGCCATAGCCTTCTGTGGCAACCTTAGGGAAGATTGGCTATGTAGTGAGGAAGCTGATGAAAATGTCTAGATTTACTTGCAAATATGTCTGTATGTTTTGATTAATTTATTTCTTAATCAATAGGACTAAAAATTTTCTTCCAAGTTCATACTTAGTTTATGTTCTTGGAGTAGTAAAGTTTTTCCTCTTCCATCATCCTCACTTTGGTTATATTAGTAGTTGTGGTGTTCTCTTTGCATCTGAGAAGGCAATTACAAACAATTACCCACCATGTCTCAATATTCATGTTTTCCTCTCCGGACACATTATATTCACATATTTTAACTTCTTTTCATATTGAATGAATTTGCTTATTTTAAAATATATTAATTCCAAATTTCCAAAAGTATTGTAAAGATACTTTTCATCTTCTAGCAGAATTCCTGTTACTATTTTTTAAAGTGGTGACTTGGATAGAATAACATCTTGAAAACTACATTTCTGGCCCAAATGCATTCTAGTGATAGCCTTAATTATGAGAGTTGACTTTCTATGAAGCTCCCTGTGATAATTTATCATGTTTATTCCATCTACTTATTAAATATTATTAATGAATTATGAGTCATTAATTATGATAAAGCAATGAGAATAAAATATAAACAAATAATAGTGCATATTCATTCATTTGCTACTCTTAAATGTAGCAGAACTACCAATGATCAACATAGGGATCATACTTTGTAGATCAATATGAGACTAGCGAGGTATCGTATCAATAAGAGGTAAGTAGAGCATATAATCAGAACTGCGGAACTGCACACAGTAGTTCATAAACTTTAGTGGATATATACCACCACCTTAACAATTAGAAAAGGCATGGATTCTCAAAGCAGAAAAAAAATCACTGTGATAAATTCCTCCACTGGTTTGCATATGATCCAAAAGGATCCCAGAGTACATGAATTTATCCCCAGTTACCCCAAGCATAGAACAAAGATGGTGATTATTCAACACAGAATTTGAGTATAAAAGTTGCATCACGTCATTCATTGGTTATTTTTTCACTAATTCATCAAATCTTTATTAAGAATCTGCTGTGTCAGGCACTGTTATAAGAAATGCAGATTGAGCAGATGAACAAAATAGGCAAAGTCTCCACTTTCTGGAGGTTACAACTGAGACAGAAGGGGTAGAGAGACTGATTTTAAAAATGAATGAAATAGATTCTAACAGTGAAGAATCCTGTGAGGATAATACAACTCACGGAGTTACATTAAATTCAGTTACTGGAGGTAGACTAATTAATATAAGGTGGCCATTAAAAGTATCTCTGGGAAGTTAACATTTCAATTGAATAGAAATATTCAAATAGTCAAATATTCTTGGTATTATTCTAAGAAAGAGAAATCAGTAAGTGCAGAGGCCAGGGCCTTATTGTGAGAAGAAACCTGCTGCATTTTAAAAGTCAAAAAGTCAGTGGAGTTTGAGCATTATAGATAAATGGAGGAGAGTAGTAGGATAGGAAATCAGAGAGATAAGTAAGGGCCAGAACTTCTCAGCACAATGAAAGGTCTTTAGAGATATTTTTGCAGGGGCACGCTATGTTCTGATTCACTGAGGCATATAAAAGGCCCTCTGCAGGGGAAATGTCGATACTGAAGTCACCTACACTCCTTCCTACCCAAGGACAACCTCAACAACCAACACCATGTGTGGTAACTACTACAGAAATACGATGGCAGCCTTGGCTATGGGTGCTATGGCTACAGAGGCCTGGGCTGTGGTTATGGAGGCCTGGATTGTGGCTATGGAGGACTGGGCTGTGGCTATGGCTCTTTCTGTGGCTGTGGTTATGGAGGCCTGGGCCGTGGCTATGGCTCCTCCTGTGGCTGTGGCTACGGAGGCCTGGGCCGTGGCTGTGGCTTCCTCCTGTGGCTGTGGCTATGGAGGCCTGGGCCATGGCTGTGGCTCCTCCTGTGGCTGTGGCCACGGAGGCCTGGGCCATGGCTGTGGCTCCTCCTGTGGCTGTGGCCACAGAGGCCTGGGCCGTGGCTGTGGCTCCTCCTGTGGCTGTGGCTACGGAGGCCTGGGCCGTGGCTGTGGCTCCTCCTGTGGCTGTGGCTATGGAGGCCTGGGCCGTGGCTGTGGCTCCTTCTGTGGCTGTGGCTATGGAGGCCTGGGCTGTGGCTATGGCCCCTTCTGTGGCTGTGGCTATGGAGGCCTGAGCCATGGCTGTGGCTGTGGCTATGGCTATGACTCCTGCTTCTTCTGTGGCTGTGGCTATAGATGCAGATCTGGCTCTGGCTCCGGCTCCAGCTTTGGCCACTACTATTGAGGACACCATGGGAGACTCTCACCCTCTATCCTGTGACATTGGGATTCGCCAATTCTGAAGCCCACATGCTCTGAGCCTTTCCCTTGATTGATGATATCCTGCCGTGGAAGTGTAATGTGATCTGTTGTTGACCTACCAGGTAACCCAAAAATACCCTGAGTTTCCATCATGAAGTGGGATAAGGTGAAGTTCACCTGTCACTTCTCCTTTTATCAGGATGATGGTGTCACAGTGACTCCTTTGATGACTTTCATGCTGCAGTTTGTTTCTCTGCTGACCTAATAAACACATTTAATCCACAAGAGAAAACTTGGTGTTTGTATCTATTATTTATTGTCCAAAATTTCCTTTTCTTTCATTTTTTCTTTTATCATTATTTTTTTCTACTCTTATTTTAGGTTCAAGGTTTATATGTGTATATTTGTTACATGGGTGAATTGCATGCCACTGAGGTAATATGTGAAAGGTAGTTTTTCAATCCTTACCACCCACCACCATCCCCACTCCAACAATCCCAGTGTCTATTGCTTGCATGTTTATATACATGTGCACTCAAGTTTTAGCTCCCACTTATAAGTGAAAACCTGTGGTATTTGATTTTCTGTTCCTGCATTGATGTGCTTGGGATAATCTCCTTCAGCTGCATCCATGTTGCTGCAAAGAATATGATTTCACTCTTTCTTGTGGCTACATAGTATTCCAAGATGCATATGAAACACATTGTCTTTCATCAACTATTGATAGACATCTGAGTTGATTCCATGTCTTTGCTATTGTGAATAGCACAGTGATGAACAGACAAGTGCATGTATCTTTTTGGTAGAACATTTTTTTTTCCTTTGGGTATATACCCAGTAATGGGATTGCTGGGTCGAATGATAGTTCTGCTTTAAGTTCTTTGAGAAATCTCCAGATGCTTTCCACAGTGACTGGACTAATTTATATTCCCATCAACAGTGTATAAGCATTCTCTTTTCTCCACAACCTCACCAGCATCTTTTTGTTTTTGACTTTTTTAATAATAACGTTTTGACTGGTCACTAACGTTATGCATTTTTTATTTATTTGTTGGCTGATTTTATACAGCCTTGTGAGAAATGCCTGCTCATGCCTTTTGCCCATGTTTTAAGGGGTTGTTTTTTGCTTGCTGACTTGTTTAGGATTCCGATAGATTCTGGATATTAGACTTTTGTTGGATGTAGTATTTGTAAATAATTCCTCCCATTCTGTAGCTATGTGTTTACTCTGTTGACAGTTTCTTTTGCTATGCAGAAGTGCTTTAGTTTAATTAGGTCCACTTCTGTTTTTGTTGCAATTGCTTTTGAGAACTTAGCCAAAAATTCTTTGCCAAAGCCTATGTCCAGAATCATATTTCCTAGGTTTTCTTCTAGGACTTTTATAGTTTTAGGTCTCACATTTAGATCTTTAACCCATCTTGAGTTAATTTTTGCATATGGGGGAATGTAGGTCTCTAATTTAAATTTTCTGCCTATGGTTAGTCAGTTATCCCATCACCATTTATTGAATAGGGAGTCCTTTCCCCATTGCTTGTCATTATCAACTTTGTCAGAGTTCAGATGGTTGTAGGTGTGTGGCTTTATTTCTGTGTTGTCTATCCTATTACATTGGTCTATGCATCAGTTTTTATACCAGTATCATGCTGTTTTGGTTACTATAGCCTTCCAGCATAGTTTGAAGTTGGGTAATGTGATGCCTCTAGCTTGGTTCTTTTTCCTTAGAAAAGAAAGAAAAGGCTCTTATTTGATTCCACATAAATTTTAGAGTAGATTTTCCTTATTCTGTGAAAAATGATGCTAGTCGTTTTATAGAAGTGACACTGAATCTGTAGATTGCTTTTGGCAGTATGGACATATTAATGATACTGATTCTTCCCATACAAGAGCATGCAATGTTTTTTTCATTTGTTTGTATCATTTATGATTTCTTTCAGCAATATTTTGCAGAGATCTTTCACCTTCTTGGTTAAATGTATTCCAAGATATTTTATTTTGTGTGAGTGGCTATTGTAAATATGATTGCATCTTTGAACCGTCTCTCAGATGAAACATTTTCAGTGTATAGAAACACTACCGATTTTTTGTGCATTGATTTTATATCCTGAAATTTTACTGAAGTCATTTATAAGTTCTAGGTGGCTTTTGGTGGAGTCTTTATGGATTTCTAGGCACAGAATCATATCTTTAAAGAAAAGAGATAATCTTACTCATTCTGTTCCTATTTGGATGCCTTTCATTTTTTTCTCTTGCCTAATTGCTCTGGCTAGGACTTCCAGTTCTGACAG